AGACCGCGTTGGCATCAAATCTAGAGCCTGACGTGGTCGTGAGATATAGACCACGTTGGCGTCAAATCTAGAGCCCGACGTGGTCATGAGATCTAGACCACGTTGGCATCAAACTTAGAGCCCGACGTGGTCGTGAGATCTAGACCACGTTGGCATCAAACTTAGAGCCCAACGTGATCGTGAGATCTAGACCACGTTGGCTTCAAACTTAGAGCCCGACGTGGTCGTGAGATCTAGACCACGTTGGCATCAAACTTAGAGCTCGACGTGGTCATGAGATCTAGACCACGTTGGCGTCAAACTTAGAGCTCTACGTGGTCATGAGATCTAGACCACGTTGGCGTCAAACTTAGAGCTCTACGTGGTCATGAGATCTAGACCACGTTGGCGTCAAACTTAGAGCTCTACGCGGTCGCGAGATCTAGGCCACATCGTGAGACCATGCCCAAGATCCGAGCTAACAAGTAGGAAGTATGAAGGCAAGTCATGTGGGAGAGGCAAGTAACAAGATGACAGTTCCAGGATGAAGAGCAGGCGGTTAACGGAGAAACTGTCGAGTATCCCACGTGCAATGACACGTCAGCCACGTCCGAGAAAGAAGGAGAGCAGTTCCTTTTGGAAGTTACTCTAAGACAGTTTCTACGACGGTTATCATCTCAAGGGCTATAAATAGGAGGAGGAGTCGACAGAGGGGAGGGTCGCCAAATTCACACTAGACAACACAATGTCAAATTTTATCCCTTTATCCTTTCCTCTGCAATTTTAGTCGTAGTCGTAGATCCGGAGCTCTCACTGAACCTCCATAGGAGTATGAGTAATTTAATTTAGATTCTGTCTCGTGAGTCGTGTAAACATCGATCACCCTCGTTCGAACTTTGTTTGAAGAGGTGTGAACCGTGTCTTAGTAATCGTTGTCCAAAGAAGTCAAGGTGCATTCAATTCGTTTCAACGCAAGTTTTCTCGCCGGAGAACACAACGATGGCGCCGGCCTAGACTCAGGCGGTGTTGGCAGCGATGTCGTAGACGACGAGGAGCTTCGAGAGGTCGAGGATCAGGAAAGGGGACTGTCTCAGATGCGTAGGAGAGGCCCTCGTAATCATAGTCGTCGCTGCGGATTCTGAGGTGGATGTCGAGCTGCTTGGAGTAGATGACGGCGACCTGGATGTGGGAGACCTGGAGCGGGGTGAAGATGAAGATGGGCTTGAGCACGGAAGGGAGGATGTATGATTTTTAGACGATTAAATTTTATTGTAATAATTATTATTATTATTTTGTGATAATGTGATGAAATTTTTAAAAGATTAATTTTTAATTGCCACGTCACTGTTTTAACGTCAATTTTCAGAATTGACTGCCATGTCAGATAAAGTTAACGGGGAGTGACCAAATTTGAACGGTTGTACAATAATCACGGATAGAATAAATTAATTTACCAAACTTTGGCAAAATACATATGTATAGCCAAAACTTCCACCTTTGTGACAATAATAGCCACTTTTGAAGAAATACACAAAATAGCCACAATTTGAATTATCGTATGACAAATCTAGCCACTTCCGTTACAAACTTTAACAGTGTTAGTGTGACCGTCAGTTATCTAAACGGAACGCTGACTAAGATGCCAACTCAGCGCCCACCTCAACAACAACTCAGTCATTAATGACACGTAGATGACATGTGTCATTTAATTAATATATAAAGTATTTTTATAAAAAAATTGATGTCAATTATAAAAATAAAATTATTAATAATTAATATTTTTATCCCAAGATTATCTTTCCTTTCCTTTCCTTTCGTATCTCTGCGGGGATCTGTTCTTCCCAAAAAAATCAAGTTCTACAGCCCTCCATAACTTTCCAAACCCAAACAAAAACAAAATCTCAGTACCAATCTCTAGTCTCTATCCATCAATCCCGTAAGAACATCATCAATCAAAACAAAAAGAATCTCATCAAACACACCGACGAACTCTTCTCCAGCATCCGTCGTCTTGCTGGTGAAACCGGATCCGTCGCGCCCCATGGTCGTGTCGAAGCCGATGAGGTGCTCGATTCTCCTTCCTTGTCGTGGCGCTCAATTCTCCTTCGTTGTTGTCTGTCTAGGCCCTGGATTTGAGACATCGAGGAAGAATCACGACCTGGCGGCGTTGAGGGAGAGATGCGGCGGTGCGGGATGGATGGCGAGAGGACAAACTAAGGGTGGAATAGGGATTTCTAGGTGGCGAGTGCGTAGATCGGGAGGAGTGCGGTGGTTATAGGAGAGAAGGTGCAGTGGTTATTGTCGACCGGGAAGGAAAGGAAGGCTCGCCGTTCGTCATGGTCAGGAGCCGAGCAGTTGATATTGATTTCGCCGTTCCTCCTCGACCGCAAATCCCTAATCCCTCCTAGGGTTGGCAACGGGGCGGATCGGGGACGGGTAGCTAGTTCCCGTTACCCATCCGTCAAGGCTGACGGATTTCCCCGTCCCCGTCCCCGTCCCTTTGTCGGGGCACGTTTGGTTTCCTTCACCGTCCCCAGACGGATTCGGGTTAACCACGGATCACCACGGATCCTGAGTAAAATACAAAAAAAAGGAAAAAAACTAATAAAAAATTCCTGAAATTCAAACTTCACATTACCTTGATGTTCAAGGCACATAAATTCAACACACAATGACACAAAAGAGAAGATCTGGGGCTGTAACCCTCCCACCACCCAACACCCAGATCTTCAATGTTCAAACAATGAAACAAAAGTGATAGGTTGCAGCAACCAAACAAGCTGCTGCAACCAAAACCCACCACCCAAAACCCATATAACATGTTCTTCACTAATCACTACACTAGTGTTCAAGTTCAAAACTCAAAAGGAAGAGATAAAAAACAAAGGCAGACAGCCTCAATAACATCATCCATAAATCGAACTAAAACCTATACTAATAGCACACACGAGTTCCTTTGATCTTTTCTTCCAAAAAGTAAGCAACACCATGCTGCTGGAAACCAACTCAACACTCAACAGCAGCATTCATCCTTGAAAAATGAAAAGCAATCACTGCAAGAAACAGAGTAGCAAACACAGTTAGATAAGTGAAAGTCACTTTTAAATTGAACAAGTTAAAAGGCTCAAGTCTAGCTCAATACCTTGCACCTTTCATTGCATTGAACAAATCAGTCGTCTAGGGATATTAGATGCTTCCTCATCACAAGTCCCCCCTGAACTGTAAGAATAAAAAATTACAGTTAGAGATTGAAACTATCAAACTAAGTACCAATCTAAATTGAACTAATTACCAGCTTCGTCTTGATCTTCAGTACTGGAATCTGAAATTGCTAGAGCAGAGAACACCCCTTCCATTGCCTCTACAGCAGACTTCGATGATTCTGCAGATTGAAGAAAACAATGAAAAAGACAATTAATATTCAATCAAGTTAACATTTTAATGAAAAAGACAAGTAATTGCAGATTACCTTGTTGCATTTCCTCCATAATCCAACTTCTGGTACACATCATTGCCTCTATTGTATCATAGTGCAATCTACTCCGATGAGGGTCTATTAACCTCCCACCAGAGCTAAAAGCAGATTCAGAAGCCACTGATGTAATTGGTATGGCCAAGAAATCCCTTGCAATTGCTTGCAAAGTGGGGTACTTAAGGCCATTCAGTTTCCACCACATCAGTATATCAAAGTCAGGAGACCTTTTAGGAATCAGTTCCTCAAGAAGATAGTGATCCAGTTCAGTATGGACCAGAGTTGCTTTGCTTTTTTTCCTCCGACTCACAAACAGTTCAAAATCAAGATCATCATTTGCAGGAGTAGAAGAACTATCATAAGCAGTTGAAGAACCAGAATTGTTCCTCTCAGACTTGGTTTGGTAATCAAGCACCAAACCACAAATACATTGCTTAATCTTATCAGCCACCAAGTCAGTATTAGTACTGCCAAACTTAGCAGCATAATACTCAATCACATGCAACTTGTATCTAGGATCAAGAACCACTGACACAGCGAGAACCAAGTGTATATCATCCCAATACTTAGAAAATTTCTCCCACATACTCTCAGCCATAGCCGAGATAAGAGAATTGGTATCAGCACACCATTCCAACAATTTCAGTCTCAGATCACAAACCTTGGGGAAAAACAAATTAGCAGTGGGATACTTGCTGCCAGAAAACAGCTTTGTGATCTCACTGAAAATTTCCAGCTTATCAATGACCATAGCAGCAAACTCCCAGTGCATACTAGTAGGGACAGTGGTGTATTGACTATCCCACTGCCTCAAACGAGAGAAAACATCTCTATACACAATGGCTGTAGATAGCATATCATAGGTGGAGTTCCACCTAGTTGGACAATCAAGCACAAGTTGCTTCTCACAAGGCACTTTAAGCTGCTTAGCAGTTTCAAAGAAGGTTTGTACCCTCTTAGGAGTGGACTTCCAGTACACAACACTATCTCTAACCAATTCAATGCCATCTTTGATGACTTCCAACCCTTCTTTCACAATGAGATTCAAAACATGAGCAGAACATCTCATTTGAACCAGCACACCATCCAACAACAGATCATCACTAGCAAGTTTAGTTTTCATATGAGTAATCATGGCATCATTGGTGGTACAGTTATCCAAGGTAATCGAGGACAACTTTCTATCAAGATTCCAACCAAGCAAACACTTGAACAACCTATCTCCCAACCTCTTACTAGTATGAGGGGCAGGGACATAGATGAAACTCAACATCATGTTTTTAAGTTTCCAAGAATTGTCAATAAAATGACCAGTAACGGCCATATACCCCATCTTTTGGTTAGTTGCAGTCCACATATCAGTTGTGACTGCAACTCTACCAATATTACCATCTAAAACCTTCTGAAGCTTTGCCATCTCAGCCCCATATAAAGCAAATATGTCCCTCTTCACTGTATTTCTACAAGGGACAGTGAACTGGGGTTGCAAAGAACAACAGAAACGTTTAAACCCCACATGTTCAACAATGTTCAGGGGATACTGATGCACCATAATCATAGAGCACAATTCCTTCCTAGACACATCAGAATTGAATTGAGTAGCAGATAGGAGGGGTTTTCCAGTTGGTTTATAATCAGGACCAAGAACTCTCTGCCTACCATCATGTATCTTTCTTTGGGTGCAAGTTTTGTAATGGTTCCTCAAGTGGGAGGTTCCATTACTAGTATCACCACCTAAACGTTTTCGACAGTATTTACACTTGGCTTTAATCTCCCCATTAAACTTGACCCTCACAAAATGTGGCCAGACATCAGAAGTCAATTTACGATCTTCAGCCAGAATTATTTCAACATTTTCATTCCCAGAACCATTAGCATCATTCCCAGAACCATTACCATCATTCCCAGAACCATTAGCATCATTCCCAGAACCATTACCATTAACATTGCCATTACCATTACCATTACCATTACCATTACCATTACCGTTTTGATTAGAAGGCACAGTAGGATCATTCGCATTCAAAGCACAATTTTCAGTAGCACCATCCATCTACATAAACAATTAAATAATTGCATTCAATCAATCAACCAAAACTATAAACTACCCAGACAAATCACACAACACACAATACAAATTACAATCGACTAAATCGAGAGTTGAATTGGACCAATAAAAAAGGAAAGTCTTCGATTGGAAGTTACCTGTAATCTGGAGAGGGACTGAGGGAGACTCTGTTCACCAGACTGCAGATGGTGAGCACTGAGCTGATGCCTCGAATGATAGACACAGCTGATGCCTCGAATGCGAAGCTAAACAACTCCCAAACAAAGCCAAAAAAACAAAAGAAAATTAGCATGCATGCATCGAATGATAGACACAGCTCATGAATCTGGAAAAATAATGGGTTAAGTTTGTGCTTACCTCGACTGTGCTCTGAGCAGAGTGCAGGTAATGGGTTTAAGGAAGAAGGCTGACCAGTGACCTGAAATTAATCGAGGGGTTGATTTATATACGAGAAGAAGGAAGAAGGCAAGAAAGTTGCAGCAGAATACGAAGGGAAAAGGGGGAGAAGGAACTTATCTCGCTCGATGTGCGATATCACGTCGATTTCCCCCAATAGCTGCAAATCGAAGATTGCAGCGGGCAATTTAGGGCTCTGCATGCTGTTTCCCGACGAAATCGGCGGCAAAACTTGCATCCAATTGGCCAAAATGAGAGATAATGATTGCCAGTAGGCAATCATAATTGTATAAAGAAGCTGGATTGGGAGGAAATCGTGGGGAACAGAGAGATTTTTGAGGCGGATTAGATGTTTGGAGATTCGATGGAGATTGGAGAGAAAGAAGCTAGGGTTTCGGGAGGTTCTCGAAGAGGAAGATGAGAGGATTAGAGGAATGGGAGCAGTCGTTTGGGACGGCGGAGAGTGGAAAATGAGAGATTAGGGTTTGCTGCTGCTCGTTTTTTGGTTTATATACGATGTCTAAGCGACGTCGTTTTATTATTCGGGGCGGGGGCGGGGCGGATACCACTAATACCGTCCCCACCCATCGCCCGCGACCCACGGGTTTCGGGTAAATCCGAATCCGCCAAAAGCCCACAGCGGACGGATTTTTAGGGTGTAATTCGGGCGGGTTTCGGGTGGATACCCGCTGGGTCGGTCAGGGTTGCCAAGCCTAATCCCTCCTTTGCAGCAGTTCGTCGCTTTCGATTCCACCCATCCCCTATTTCCTCCTCCACCAAAAATCCCTAATCTCTGGGTTGTCGGAGTTCGTCGACCCAACGCAACTAGTCGCCACCAAACCAAGACATCTACTGGTCGAAGAGGGATCAGAGAAAGATGAGGGAGAAGATTAAGAGAGAGCAGCGGAGAAGATGGGTCAGAGATGATGATGGAGATTAAGAAGGAATAAGGGATACAGGGGGATTTTATTTTCTTTTATTTTTTGTATGCTTTCTTTTTTCTTTGTGTATTTTATTATTTATTTTTAAAAGTTAAATCCACATCGCAATGTACCGACGCCACGTCAGCGTTTCTGTTAGTCCAGTCATCGTGTTAGATGACATCGTTAAAGTATTGGACGGAATTGGTTATTTTGTGTATTTTTTCAAAAGTGGCTATTATTGGCAAAAACATGAAAGTTATGGCTATACAAGCGTATTTTGCCCCAAACTTTACCATTACCTTAAAACAAAGGTAAAAACTAAAGAGTTACTAGAGGAAGGGCCACGTCAGCAGGCGGGGTACGACTTGGACGTGTGCAAACCAATGAAAAAGTGCCATGTCAGCAAAAGCCGGCTCCGAAAAGAAATCTCCCTCTGAAAACGCTTCATCCTTTTTTCCGGCTCCTCAGCCCACGGAAAAAAAACGCCTAATTTTCTCCTACCGCTCCCTCGACTGGGCAAAACCTCTCCATAAATCACGCTCCAGCGCCGCCGGCAGCTGCCCAACTATTCGGCAGCGCAACGGTGGAATCCACCTCCTCCTGATCCCCCCGCTAGAAGACTTCAACAAAATTCGGAGATGCATTCCTTTGGATTCCGTGCCAATGCTGTGCTGACGTTTGGGATCACCATCCTCGCGTTCATCTGCGCGATGGCGTCGGTCTCTGATAACTTCAATTCTCCCCGCCCATCTGCCGAAATCCAGGTCGGGCAGTGTCTCCCTTTTGCGTTTCGCTCCCCATCTTGCTGCTGCCCTTGACTCTGGATTTGGCCACTTTTTTTTGGGTTTCTAAATTCTGGGCTTTGGTTTTGATTTGTAGATATTGAACATCAATTGGTTTCAGAAACAGCATGGGAACGATGAGGTAAGGATTTCAAACTGGTACCTTTGGGCTTGCTTCTGTATGCTGCTGGGGTTTCTGCTTTGCTCTTCATGTCATTGTAGTATGCTCTCAGGCTCAGCTTGCTTATTCTAAGATGATCAATGGCTTCTACTGGCTAATTCTTAGTGAAGTTTGATTTGGGCTTAGGCTATGTGGTTAGCTGTTTATATGTTAGTCTTGAAGGGTTAGGAGATCTTGTCCCTCAAGTTAGCTGTATCGTTGGATCTAAATGTTGATGTAGGCGGATGGCATGAAGTGAACATGCCAGGTGCTTAAAATCTTGTGTTGTGGTATTAAGAGGGTTTGGTAATGCCGATGTATGCGGATCTCGCGAAGTGAACATGCCAAGTGCTCAAAATCTTGTGTTGTGGTGTACTCTCAAGAGGGTTTAGTAACTGAGACTTCGCTTTCCATCGACTTGATTGTTTGTATGCTCATTGCTGGTTTAGATAGAAGGTTATGCAAGGTTTGGGATGTAGTTCCAATCTGCCTGTTCAGTCCAATTGATGTAACTGCTGTTATGGTATATCGAATGATAACATAAGAGTGATGGTTGATTCGCTTGTCATTGATATTTATGCCGACTTTGGAGAGTGTTCTCCTCAGTGAATTTTATGGCCGGTGTTGGATTATGAAGTGAGTAGTAAAATACTTAATCTAGTAGATCTACTCTTAATGAAATTGGTTCGGCATAACTTGGGGGACTTCGTTCTCATTCAGATACTTTCCACTGTATTTCACATGTTCCCCAATGTTTCCTCTTTCACAGAAAATCTCCAGTTGATTATGATGAGATACGTTTTTGTTTCGTAATGCAGGCCAGTCTTACGATGAATATAACAGCAGATCTGCAGTCACTCTTTACATGGAATACGAAGCAGGTGTGTGTTCCGATCGCATACAGCTTGTCTATTTTCCTAGCCACATCTTTAAATTGACATTTCAATTGTATACTGAACACGTTTGCATAGAGAAGGCATTCTAAATTCAATATAACGTTGACCATATCAGCAGATGATTGGATTCCCATATAGATTCTAGTCAACTTAGTTGTTTTCTTTTTGCTTCAGAAGTTGAAAGCAGGCATATATATATTCTGCTGAACTCTTTGGCTGCTGATTTTGATAAAAAAATATAGATAATCAGCAGATGTTAGTTTTGTGCGTAGACATTAAGTCATTATTATTGAGTATTTTGTTCCATTTTCGTATCAGGTTTTCGTATTTATAGCTGCAGAATATGAAACCCCAAAGAACGCTCTGAACCAGGTACTTTTGGTTAAAGAATGTGCAATAGCTCACGTTTGAATTCAGTTTATACATTCAACTTGAGTTGAGCATCATCCTCATCATGGAACAAGAATGAGCCTCCCATTCTTTAGAACAAATGGTGGTTTATTCTCTTCACAATGTAACAAAATGTTGCACTCATTTGCCATTTGATGTTAATGCACTAGGTTTCACTTTGGGATGCTATAATCCCAGCCAAAGAGCACGCCAAGTTCTGGGTTCAGACAGCGAACAAGTATCGCTTCGTTGATCAGGTAAGAAACGTAGAGTTATTTGTTCTTTTTCCTTTTCTCTGCTGTTGATGTCTTGTGGAATTCTTGTTACTGAAACCATCTACTTCGTGCAGGGAAACAATCTCCGGGGTAAGCATTTCAACCTGACATTGCACTGGCATGTCATGCCCAAGACTGGCAAGATGTTTGCCAACAAACTAGTCATTCCGGGATACCGCCTCCCAGAAGAATACAGATAGAACTTCCCCCTAGCTTTAGCGAACTGAAAGTTGATACTCATTGTAGGCTGGTCCAACACTTTGATGTTTTAATGGCCAGTTTAGTTTCTGAACGTTACAAACAACAGTATTGATCCCAAGCTGGGTAATCTTTCTCCAGACATCTTACAACAGTAAACTGGTTTGAAAAGCAAGAGAAATGGCCATGTTCACTCAGGCTGCTTAACATTGAAAGTTAACGATCTGATTCTTGGGGCTTTATGGTTATAGAAAGTGAAAGCTACTATGTATGTTATAGCTGTAAATAAGCTTGACAAGTAACAAGACACTACCGCCTATGGACTCTGGAGCTAACTTGAAAGTTGAACTGTTGAAGGTCAAGATCATACTAACTTCCGCATGTTAGAATGCTAAACAAACTTAGCAATCACATGGTGGAGATTCATGCCAGAAACGCTCTGTAAATGAAGAACTCCCCAATCTTCACTTATCTGTCAACTCCAGAAATGCCTTCTCTTCTGATCACAAACTCGCACGATGAAGGAGCCAAATGTGGAGCAAAAACAAGATGAAGCCATCTTCTTGTCGTCCGAGAACCAAACCCTCCATCTTCCTCACTTCGTTCCACCGAACAATTATTCGCCTTCTCATCTTCTTCCCTGGAAAGGAAAAGCCTTGAGTTCACACAATTCGACCAAGCCAACCCTAAAGCGGGACAAACCCTCCTCCCAGAAGAATACAATTCCTCCAAATTCCCAATCTTTAACCCGTTCATCCCATCCCCAACGTAATCCACCACCTGATTAGTCACCACCACAGCTAATCTAAACCTCGAGGCCAAGCTCTTCAGCTTCCCGGATATCTTGAAAAACAGTGAAGATCTCTTCATCAAGTCGATCGAGGTGTTATCGAAATCAGACCGGAACAATGCCGCGATGGAGTCGATCACGATCAGCCTGACGGGGAACTGGGTTTGTGAATTTTGGAGAAAAGACTCCGTCTGGGGCATTATGTCGAGCAGTTGGTCGGCAGTGTGGATGCTCTGCACGAGTATGCCATCCATCGGATCGTAACGTTGGTCGCGGCCGGTGGCGATGAGGTCTTGAAGATGGTGGGCGTGGAACTGAGCGGCGAGCTGGTGGAGCCGGCGAGTGGGGAAAGGGAACTCGGAGTGGAGGTAGATGGAGGAGGCGGAGAGGCCGCCGAGTGAGGGTGGGAGCTGGGCGAGAAGGGCGAGCTGTAGGCAGAGTTGGGTCTTGCCGGAGCCACTTTCGGCGACGATTTCGGTGATGGATTCGCAGGGGATTCCGCCGGCTAGGCAGCGGTCCATCACCGGGCATCCCAGAGTCAGCTTCTCTGCCGGCTGCGGGCGGCGGAGAAGGTTCTCCGGCGCCATAATCGGTTGGAGGGAAAATTGGGGAAATGTCTTTTGGGTGTGTTTTCAGATTTCTCGTGTTTTGTTTAAACTGGCACTTGCCACCAGGCCGTTCTTTCGGCCTACTACTTGGCGTGGATTGTGGAAGAGCTGGCCCAACACCGGAAGAAAAAGAAACTGAAATGGTATTATTATTATTATTATTATTATTATTATTATTATTATTATTATTATTATTATTATTATTATTATTATAATCATCATTTTTCAATATTTCAATATATTTTTCAATCTTTCAATTATTGAGTTTTTTTTAGAGTTTTAATAAGAACCATGCTGTTAAAATCTGAATTTTACATAAAATCTAAAAATTTGGTAATAATGAGATTGTAAAATAGAACGCTTTAGAGGACCATGTAAACTTAAGAATTAAAACAATAGTATTAATAAGAAAAATTAATGAATTCTCAATTACATTGTATCAAGTTAGTGCAACAACTGTAATGCAAATTTCAACAAATCAACAAAAATGCAATCCATATTCCCAAACTAAGATTTTTCTACTCCCGTGAACATTAGTTTCATTTTGGGTTAATACCCTAATTTGGCCTGAAGTTTGACGTAAATGTTAGTTTTGGCCCCAATTTTTCAATAAGACAGTTGTGGTCTACTTTTCAAATTAATGGACAGATTCAGCACTAATCTTTTTTTGACCGTTAATATTGACAGTCAAACAATTATTCCGTTAGTGACTCAGAAAAAAATTGATGATGTGGCTTATACATGGTGCCACATCATTAAATAATATAATTTTAATTTTGTCATTTAATTAAAAAAAAGAAAATTAACAAATTAAAAAAATTCCCTCCCATTATCCCATCATCCCAAAATCCCAAATCCAAACCCTAATCTTAATCAACCATCATCGTCAAAATCAATCCTCCGACCTCCGTTGCTGAAGCCCTCTCTGCCCTCCAATCCTCCGGCCACCACGACACCGATACCGATGTCCTTCCCCTTTTACCACTCCGCCCTGCCCTTCCTGAAATGGTGTCCCCCACAGACCCCTTCCCTACAAAAACTTCTCACCTTCTGCTAATATGAACCACATTCCAGATCACGCCTCAACATCCTCCGACTGCGAAACTTCGAGCGTGAGAGAGAGGTCAAGGAGGAGGACGAGATCGGAGGAGACCGGGCGATAGTTTCTGGATCCAGCACGGCAACGCGCTGCGGAGTTGGAGGGGTCGCACGGGCCACGGAGTTAACTCAGACACGGCTGCGGAGGACGCCGGTGGGACTCGAAGTCAAGGGTGTTGGTGGCAGGGACAGGGATGACGCAAGCAACGTCTTTTTGGTAGAACAGGGGAGGGGAATTGAGCCGCGAGCGTTTTGGTAGAACCCGATGATGTAGACGGAGCTAAGGAAAACGACGACGAGGGCTTTGATAAGGTTTGGTCGTTTGATTTTGGAGGCAGTGATTAGGTGATGGTGATTAGAGAACGGCGGCGCCATGGAAGGGGTTGGAAGAAGAAAAGAGGAACTTTGGAAGGGGAATGAGATGTTTTTAGATTAGAGTTTGAGTTTTGGTCTTTTGGGAATAATAAAAGGGAAATTTTTAATTGTAGGTAATTATGTTTTATTTTAATTTGAATTACAAAATTAAATTATATTATTTAGTGATGTGGCACACGCATAAGCCACATCAACCGTGTTTTGCTGAGTCACTAACGGAATAAGTGTTTGACCGTCAATATAGACGGTCAATGAAAATTTTTGGCCAACTCTGTCCATTAATTTGAAAAGTGGTTCATAACTGTCTTATTGAAAAATTCGAGTCAAAACTGACAGTCTGACACTTACACCAAACTTCGGGTCAAACTAGGGTATTAACCGTTTCCTTTTCGATAATTTTGCATTGGATATAGAACCACTAGCACTATGACAGACATGATGATTAATCAAAGTTAGAAGGCTCTCTCCCTTCTCTCTAGAGTTTCAGTTTTGGCCTCCTCATAGAGGGTTGCTGCCAGCGATCAATGGCAACTAGGAGTGGCAACCGGTCAGTTTCGGTTTAACCGAAAACCCGGTTATTTGTTAAACCGAGACCCCCCTTAAGGTGCCGACCACCGACCGAAGAAAGGACACGGTTAGCCGGCCAACCGAGCGATTCCGCTTTTGGGCTCGGTTAGCTGGCCAACCGAAAAAATTACATTTTCCAAAAGAGAAGACAAGATCTGCACCACTCAATCTCAAACCTTATCTTCTCCTCTCTCCCCTTCCTCCACCAGACCCTTCTCTTCTCTCTCCTTCCTTCCCCACCATTTCCTCCACCAGAACCTTATCTTCTCCTCTCTCCCCTTCCTCCACGAGAAGAAAACCGCTGCATGAGACGACTCGCGGTGGCGCCGTGGCGGGATACTACTCGCGGCGGGAGACTTCTCGAACCGCCGCCGCAGAAATCGCTCGTCGACTCCACGGCTTCCTTCAGATCCGTCAAGTTACCGGCCGAGATTCAGAGCCACAAGTCATCTTCATCGTCCCCGCCGTCAAGCGACGATCTGGATGCTCGCCCGCTGGTCACGCGGCGGAGGAACCAGTCCTGGAGCTCCATCGATCTGAGCGAGTACAAGGTGTATAAAGCGGAGCCGTTCTCCCAGTCGAGCCGGAGGATGGCGGCAGACGCGGCGACTCAGACCGACGACAAGAGGCGGCGGAGGAGGCCGGTGAAGCCGGCCGAGGAGGAAATAGGAGAGATCGTTGAGGCGCCAGACGTTGACGAAGCGAGGCGGGACCGCCGGGAGCTTGGAGGAGGGAGCAGAGAGGAGATCGAGATGAGGTTGAAGGGATGGGTGGATTGAAGCAGGTTGAAGGAGGAGATGAGGTTGTTTTGGGGCTGGGGAGTTCTTTGTGAGGAGGAAGAAGAAGAAGAAGTGGAGATGAGGTTGCAGGAGGTTGTGGCGATTAGGGTTGGAGAGGAAAGGAGTCGTTTTGGGGCTGGGGGAAGGGGTCGTTTCGGGGCTGGCTGGTTGGGGGAAGGGGTCGTTTTGGGTAGGGCTGCGGGGTCGTTTTGACTCAATGGGCGGTGGTCGGTTAGCCGGTTAACCGCCGGTTACTGACCGCGGTTAATCGGCTAGCCGAGCCTCTCCCTCTCTCCCCCGGCAACCGACCGACGCCAATACAGAGCGGTTTTCGGTTAGCCGAAAACCGGTCGGTTTGGTCGTAACCGACCGGTTAACTGCTAACCGAAAACCGTTCTGCCAGCCCTTGGCAACTAGAGGTGGCAATTGGATTGGATTCGTGGATTGGATTGGTGGATCCATGGATCAAATGGATTGGATCCAATGGATTGGTGGATTCATGGATTGGATCAAATGGATTGGTGGATTGATCCATGAATCCAAATGACATCCAAGATTTGGACCAAAATGTAAAATTTGAAAAGTTTTGGTACTAAAATGTCATAATGAAAAATTTTAGGTACCAAAATGTAATTTTCCAATGATATTTTTCGTATACAAATATTAATTTTAGGTACCAAGATGTAAAATATAAAATATATAGGTAACAAATCGTAATTTGCCATTTGGATCCATGGATTGATCCATGAATCCACCAATCCAATTGAATTTGGATCAAATGGATTGGATTAAGTGGATAATTTGGTGGATGAATTGGATTGGATTCATGGATTTGGATCCTAATTGCCACCTCTAGTAGCAACCCTTCAGCCATGTTCACTTTCATTTTCGTTTCCTGTTTTCTGTTTTCATGTGATAAATTTGGCAACTAAAATGAGAAAACTTGTTTACTTTTCATTCTGTTTTCTATTCGTTTCCAACTATGAAAACAGAAAGTGGCAACTTCCTGCTGTTTTCGAAAACGACAAAATGTTGTTTTCACCTGTTTTCAACATCTGTTTTCTCAAAAACAGGAAACAGAAATGAAAGTAAACAAGCCCTCCTTTGTCTACGTTTATAGTTTTTTTTTTCATGGCTTGCAGTTTTGGTTTCGTATCTCCTTTCCTTTCCATATACCCTTGTTTGAGTCCTTTTTAGCCCCCTGTTGAGTTTTTTTTTTCAGATTGTCTCTTATGGAGATGAGTCCTTTCCTTCTCCGGTTTCTGGTATGATTTTTCATATCTAGAGGTTTCGGAGCTCTTTTGTCCAATTACAAAGGGGCTTGTTGAATTTTCTTCAACTCATCTTCTTTTCCTTGAATCTTCCATCTACCTCCTTGTTTCATCCAACATATCGCGATGATCTGGAGATGCAGTAGTCTTTCTTTGTGAATTGACTCGGATGCGATTCCAGGTTTTGAAGATGGAGACGCCTCACTTAGAGATCGGTGCATGCTTTCCTCTGGGTCCTCCAAGCAGTTGGTGGTCGTCTTCTCAATGAGGTTATGTTTCGGCTTCTTTCATTCTCGTTGCTTCATCTGTGCATTCAGGGTCTCTTCTGTTTGGTTGGCGGCTTCAAGTGGCTTGGCAGATTGGGTGTGTGCGGTAGTGGCGGTGATCTCTTTGTGTGGGTTGTAGATAGGGTTTAGAATGGGATTCAACCGTGCGGCCTCCATTGTGGGATTCTGAGATGTACTTTCAGGTTTTTGTGGGCTTTCATTGTTGGGCCGCTTTCTTCACTTTATTTACATTGATAGACATGATGATTAATGAGCAGTCAGGAGAGTTGTCGTAGTTGGTCTTTCCAGACCAAATCGTGGTATAATGAGCAAAGAAAGAAATTATTGCCAGTTGTGGGTTGAGGCCATGGGTTGATGATCAAGAGTGTTTGGAAATGGTGAATCAGTGATGATCAATTATTTCGGTTGATAACGGTCGGTGAAGGAGAAGGAGCAAATACACATTATATTTTGCTTTTTTTGGGGGAGCCGGGGGGGGGGGGGGGGGGGGGAAGGAAAGAAAAGGAAAGTTGACCTGATGGTATGTTATTATCTTGTTAGCTCGATTTCATATGGTCAAAATTCATTTGATTCACCCCAGACCTTAAAACTGCTTAATAATCATGAATACTATAAGATTTTAAGTTCAAAATTTTAGAATTAAAATTAGAACAAGATTGCCAAATCATAAAATTTGAGAAATCAAATCGAAATCTCAACTATTATGCACGTCAAAATGAAAATTAATTTCATTTTGCATGAACTCGTCATGCAATGTCTGAACTTTGAACAGACCAATTAGATGGATAGATTCACCTCATTCTTCCAATCATGGGACCGGCGCATTGGCTCACCATCCCATCTCTTGAGGTTCTTTTGTTTTGTGGCCTAGTAGACCCCTTTCTATGCTTCCCTTTTCTTCAGGGAGGGCGATTTTCTTGTCCAGTTTCCGCGTTCATGATTGAATATTTAGAGCAAACATACACGAGAAAAAAATTGTCATACAACTTTCATTCATATAATGTGAATGATCATATACTCTCAATCGTTTAAATCGTTGAAAGAGTTTAGCATAAAAAATTATGTAATTCCTTCAATGTGAAAATTAATTTAATTTTGCATGAACGTGTCATGCAATGTCTGAACTTTGAACAGAGCAATTCGATGGATAGATTCACCTCATTCTTCCAATCATGGGACAGGCGCATTGGCTCACCATCCCATCTCTTGAGGTTCTTTTGTTTTGTGGCCTAGTAGACCCCTTTCTATGCTTCCCTTTTCTTCAGGGAGGGCGATTTTCTTGTCCAGTTTCCGTGTTCATGTTTGAACATTTAGAGCAAACATACACGGGAAAAAATTGTCATACAACTTTCATTCATATAATGTGAATGATCATATACTCTCAATCGTTTAAATCGTTGAAAGAGTTTAGCATAAAAAATTATGTAATTCCTTCCATGTGTATAGGAAGTAATAAATTTTTTTGAATTAGACTTACCTTCACCTCCTAGTAATAATTTATATGTGATAATAATAATACTTTAGGGGTAATGACTAGTATATTACAATAACCAACTTTATTGTTATTGTGGTGTATTATTGTTTGCGGCGGTAAGTCAATTCGATTTGGACAGCAAAATGGTTCGGGTCTTGATCCAAAAAATAAAAATTGGAAGATTTTGGTGCGGATAGAATTTGAGATGTAGAAGGGATTATTTAATCAATATAACGTAAGGTAAAGTGAAGGGTTTTTTTTGGTTGAATGGAGGTTGGGAGCCAACCAAAAAGAAGTTACAGTACATCATAAGGGAGCAAAGAAAACGCTCAGCTCTCTTGTCTCATCACCATATGGGTAGACTAACTCCCATAACATCCTCTCTAAGAATTGGTATCAAAGTCCCTGGGATCATCCAGTTCATACATATTAAAGGGATAGATGAGATTGTGCTTCAAGAGCAAGTCCTAAACCCTATTCCCTTCCCGGTAAGTATGAACAAGTTGAACCACCCAAATTTGTGCAACAATTCTCTGAATATCTCTCAGAATGCTGGCATGAAGGTGAGTCGGAGGATCATGAGGTTGCTGAATCGGATCGACGGCCAAGCGAGAATCGGATTCAATAATAAGAAATTGAATCCCCCTGCTTTCAAGCAAGCTTAATACCCATAAGAATAGCTCAGAGCTCCGCCATGATAACCGAGCATGCTCCAATCCTGCAGCAGAATCCGCTTATCCAGCCACCTTCATTGCTATGAATAACTCCCCCCTGCTGCAATGTCTCCTTCATGTCCCTGCGCCGCTCCATTTAACTTAAACTAGCCTGCATGAGGGGGCGACCAGCCGATTAGCTCCTTAGAAAGGGCTGCTTTGGTGTGCACATCCAGCCTCCCAGATTTTCGATCACTCTTTTGCTTTAGGTCAAATATAAAGATGAGAGATAACCGAAAAGATAGAATAATGTGGTGGTGATTGGTGAGATTTTTGTGGTTGGGTTTCCTGGCGGAATATGTGCAAAAGCAAACATGAGGGGGGTATGGGTTTTTGCCGATTTGAGCATTTCAATCAGGATTTATTAGCTAAGATTGGATGGCGTATCCTCCAGGAACCACAGTCCCTCATTGCCTAGGTTTACAAAGGAAAATACTTTCCTAATGGATCCTTCCTTACGGCTACGGCAAGGTCCCGTCCTTCCTGGGGTGGCAAAGTATCCTCTTCGATCGCCAATTGTTGGAAACAGGGTTACGCTGGCAGATTGGTAATGGTCAGAAAGCCCCTCTTCTCACTTCCAGCTGGATCCCTCAGCAGCATCCCCTCCCTCCAGTCTACAATCCTTGTGTGATTCCCGAGGGGGAGGTGCTGACTGTGGCAGAGGTTATTCACCCCGGGGAGGGGAGTTGGAGTGATCAGAAACTCAATCAGTGGTTTCATCCGCAGATATGTAAAGCGATTAAAGCCATCCCATTGCCTCGCCAGAATATTGAGGATAGATTGATCTAGCATGCGTTTTTCGATGGAGTTTTCACGGTTAAATCTGCATACTACATTGCGGTCAATCTGGATCGTCAGAGAGGTTGGTGGAGGGCTCTGGCAAGCTGGATGGATAAGGCCAGTTGGGTCCGTTTATGGCAGGCTGATATTCCCCCCGAAACTTAAGGTATTTGTCTGGCAAATCTTCCTTCGAATACTGCCAACTACGGAGGCCCTAATAGAAAAGAAGGTGGATGTACTTCCTCGAAGTCGGAGAAAAGAGATATGACAACATCAAATGGAGTTTTCATCCAAAATTAGGGGTAACTAGGCAGCGATGCGCGCTTGGCCGCGCGTTTATTGGCAAGTGTTTGAGGTGGATGCGTGTTGAGATGTAACTCTTTTGAGTATGATTATGTTGTTTTAATTAATTTATTTATTTATGATAAGAAAAGAGTTATGGATGTGCATCAATTTCTAATGATCTTTGTAGATGGATACTCTGAAAAAAGCAAAACAAACATGAATTTTATATGAAATATATTTTATTTTGCGAATTATATAAAAATTGTTCAAGATATGCACTAAATTTAGTCATCTAATATTTTTCACATTGTACGAAATTTACCACCTCTCTAGTCAAGGTTGTCAATCTACGGGTATACCGGGTGAGAAAAATGGGCGCAACATACCCGCAGGTCGACCCGTATCAAGGCTCTCTGGTTGGAGGTCACACGGCGTCGTTTTTTCTCCTTACTCTTGCCCCAATTTTGGAATTCTAAGTTGAACATTTGAATATTGAGGTTATATGAGTGTGTTTGAATTTTCATTATATGTTAAGTCATCATTTCCATAATATGCATATTCAAAAAAATTGTTAGTTCTTTTTCAAATGGACAAAATTTTCCAAACAGTAAAAAAAATTTCTCTTTTTAATTGACTGATAATAGGACAACATCTAACTTTGACTCCTATCGACAAAATGCAAAAGTGAAAATCTAATTAAAACTTACTTAATAAATTTTTATCCATAAATAACTATTGATACCTGAAACCCGATTGCGTATGATAATTTTTCACTTGTGTAATGTTATTATACGTGTAATTATTTACATGTTGATTGAAGTTATAAAGAGAGATTTTTATCCATAAATAACTATGGATATATGAAAATCGATCGCGTAGGATATGATTTGATATTCTACCCAATTATTGTCTGGATATAAATATGAATATAACTAGAACGATTTTGAGTAAATTAATTTATATGTATTATCCACTTATTCCGATAGGTGGCCATTATAGGTATGTTATATTGTCAATGAGGAATAAATTAAATAGCTCTAGGAATGGGGTCCGGATCCTATCAGTAACCGACCTATCAGTAACGGTCAGTAACCGATGATCCGGCCGTCCATCGCGCCATCTTCCCAGCCGTCAGATCATGCCAGTTAAAATACACGCGGGGGCAAAAACGTAATCACGTCTCTGACAATTTGAATTGCAGACGTGACAACGACAACCGTCCCGCCTTCTCTCCTTCTTCCTCTCACCTTTCAAGAGACAGTTCCACTTCCCTCTCTCTGCTCTCTAACTCTCCATTCTTCCTCCCGATTCTCAATTCTCTCACCAAAATCGCAGCAAAAACTTCCAGAAAAAACTTCAAATCGAACGATTTTCGCGAAGGTTTTCGAAGAATCATTCAACGATACACTGTTCTCGCTTCTTCGTCGAAAAACGAAGAGTTTCCAACTTCAACGAGGCTCAAAAATCGTTTTCGCACAAAATATCAAGGTAAAACCTCACTTCTTTCTTCGAAAATCCATCCACAGAACAATAGAACAGTATCACAGTCACTCTCCATGCGTTGCTGAACTGATGTAGAATCTGTTGTGTTTTGCTTCATTACCATATGGTAATGTGTGGTAAATTAAGATTGCATGTTCTAAAATAACAAAAAACCATAAGTCCTGCTGTGTTTTAGTTTGTTACCATATGGTAATGTCTGGTAAACTATGGTTTCATGTTGTAAAATAGCAAAAAACCATAAGTCCTGCTGTGTTTTGCTTCGTTACCATATGGTAATGTGTGGTAAACTATGGTTTCATGTTGTAAAATAGCAAAAAACCATAAGTCCTGTTGTGTTTTGCTTCGTTACCATATGGTAATGTGTGGTAAACTATGGTTTCATGTTATAAAATAGCAAAAAACCATAAGTCCTGCTGTGTTTTAGTTTGTTACCATATGGTAATGTGTGGTAAACTATGGTTTCATGTTGTAAAATAGCAAAAAAACCATAAGTCCTGCTGTGTTTTAGTTTGTTACCATATGGTAATGTGTGGTAAGCTATGGTTTCATGCTATAAAAATGGAGGAAAACATACGTCCTGTTGTGTTTTACTTCGTTACCATATGGTAATATGTTATAAGACATGGTTTGATGTAATTACCATATGGTAAAATGAGATAAATATATGGTTTGATTTGGTATGGTAGGAAACCATTATGGTACCATATGGTATATCATGGTAAAAAGCACGCTAACAGACTATTCCTAATTTCTACATTCAGGTACACTATGGTAAAGCAAAGAAAATTTTTTCGCACAAGGTGCAGCCCAACAAGAATATCTACAATTGCAAGGACTATAAAAGATGACCAGAAAGAGAAACTTGAGATATTAGGCCTAGCAGGCTTAATATCAATCAAGCAGACAAAGATAAACAACCATTTTGCACTGTTCGTAATGAACAAATACAATCCAATGAAACAATCTTTCAAGCTACCTGACGGGACACGCATGAAGATATCACCAATCGACTTTCATAGGGTATATGGTCTGCCAATGGGGAATAGGGAAGTTGTACCTCCCACGATTTCTTGGGACGACGCAGCAGATTATGCAGTAGAAACCCTACTGGAAGTAGATGGAAAATCCACTCCAAGGGTAAAGCTAAGTCAGGTAGAAAAAGATCTTTCTACAGTTACCAACAGTAAGAGATGGTTACAATTGTTCTTTCTGCTGGTCACCAGAGGCTTGCTGTGCCCAAGTTCAGCCCCTATGGCTGAACTCAACATGCTTGAGTACTTGAAGACTGATGAACAGAAACATTTCACCAGCTACAACTGGTGCAAATACTTCTTCAACCACATGAATGAAGGATTGAAATCACCAAAGCTCTACGTCAATGCAGATCTTCACTTCCTTACAGTAAGTCTCCATTCCCTTGGCCATTTCAACCTTGTTACTCATATATTTTATATATAAATGAT